AAAAAGTCGAAAGACAAACCCAAACCAAAAACAATTCGATTTTTGAAAAAAGGGCACAACCAAAAGTAACATAAGAAAGATCAGAAAAAACCAACATATAATGTTAACACAAAACAGGACCCCTCAAAGAACCAGCACAAAATCTTACTCCCATTCCTGGCCTAACCCACCAGAGAAGGACGTCCTGAGCATGCTTATAGCCGGCCTAACCCACCGCGCTACACCCACGCTTTGTGACCACACTTCAATTTTTAATAAGAGGTACTCAAGGGTGAGTAACTCGTCAAAATAACTGAACTTAAATAAAACGCTTTTGTGAAAACAACTAACTAAGATCATAACTAAAACCAATTAACTAAAATTTATAAAATGTAAATCATAATATGCAGTATATAGATCATACACAACAACAAAGACGAACATCCAAGACTAGATGATCTCGTAACAATATGAACAAAAGAATGGCTACAAAACACAACCGATATGCCGTCCACAATCACGACTCAAAGGATTTAGAGTACGACTTGACTTCGCAGAAAAGGACTTCATTGAACCAGACCAATGACTACCTCGATGTTCAAGTATACGTGCAGATCCAAGTTACAAGGCATCCCTACCAAACACGAATTTCAAGCCATTCCCAGACGAGACCGAACACAAGACAGTCCTCCACTAATACAGAAAAACCTGACATAGCAAACCGTTTTGAAATCGGATTGATTTCATTGGGGATCACAGTCGTTGTCGAACGACAAGAATAACAAATTTATGTCCATGATTCCAGCGTTCTGGGACATCTCTCTTCAAGGAGAAACCGGACAAGAAAAATGATGTTCGCCAAATACCAACGTTCATCATCCATCCTTCAATTGCAGAAGAAAGAGATAAAACACAAAAACTCTGTAAACCCCGGATGGGTGGAACCTGATCTAAACTACATTTTATTATTTCATAAATTGGATATTTTACCACTGTAAAATATTTAATATTAATCAATCATAATCCATCTAACTAACAACCCATTTATTTGTAAGTGCTGAAATTACTTGTAATTTCAGCACCAGAGAGATTTGAATTTAACTTAGAGATTAGTTGCCTCTCCTCGAAAACTTCAGCAGCCGCAATAAAACCAGTATACTCTAGGTCTTTTGAGCTTACCAGAGACTAGTTAAACACCCTGAGACTAGTAGGTATAAGAGTAAGTTAGGATCGGTATTAGACCAAGAAGTTGCACGAATCTATCGGGCCGAAAATAAGATAGCGTGACGAGCAGACGGTGTACCCTATCCGAAATTACTCTATGAAATATACGATAAAGAAATAACTCACAAGGAACAGAAATCAGCTGAGGAGGCGTTTCAATTTGGTAGTGCCTTTGATGTTAGTGTCAAACACGGTGCCTTATGATGCACGTGCTTGCAACCCAACTTCAACAGGGCAACTTCAACACAATTTTAACCAAGCCCCTTTATGAGTCTTTTTAACGAAATGAGGCTCAACGACACGTGTCATCATATATAGAATCAAAGATCAAATTTCTATCGCCAAATTGAACCAAGAGACGTTTGATTTTAATATAACCAAGAACAGTTTAACGATAACTATGAAAAAGAATTAGAAATAGAAATCGTGTCCACGTGAAACAAAAATGAGTCGCTCGCCATAATCACTATTGAAAATTTCTTGGTTGTATTAAAATCAAATTTCGCTTCAATTGACGGTAAAAAATTGATCTTTGAGTCTACTCGTGATGACAAGTGACAATATCCTTCTAATTCATGTTCCTACATTGGTAGAAAAAAAGTTTAACTTTTGGGACCATTTTGGACAAAGGTATTCACAATTTTAACAAATTTAATACATGGATCGTCAGCAAATGGTCTGACCAACACTATCTGAAAGTCTCATTTTTTATTTTGAAGCAATTACCAGTTTTTTGGTCTAAAAGGGCATCTTTTCAAAAGTCAATCATTTTTCTAGTTCTATGTAAACTTTTCGTTGAACTTCACAGTGAATCATTCTCAAAATTAGAAATTTCAGGGAATGAAACCTGAATTTGCGGTCAATTTTGTCTTCTAGAATATGAAACCAAGTCAAGACAAGAACCACAGACTCTACAATCAGCACTCTTACAACAGAGCTAGAGAACAGATTCGGGCCCAGTTGTTTTGTGGTGAGATGTCATCCGAGCCTCGAGTTTTTCCGACGAAACCCTCGTAGCCGGCAAAAGCTCTGGTTGATTCCAGAAAAAATACAAGCTGCAGGCACCGACTATGTGGCTCCTCAACTTTGAAAAGCAAGCTATCGAGAAGAGTCAGATGGTAGCTGATGACCGCATAACCTTTTCGGCCACAAAGTCATTATTAATCAGTTGAGTAAAACAAAAATTTCCAGACAACTCCCTACAATGGAGCCACAGCAGCAGACCTGGCAAGGACAAAACTCAACAGGCGGCACATCTTGAAGTTAAAAAGCCACATGACAGATTAGTAGTCAGATCAGAGAAAACGGTCCACTTTTTTCAACAAGTGATAGGAATCAAAAACGTCAATTAATTGGGCTGTGAGGTCCTCTAGCAAAAGCAAAACGCAAACTATTTTTTTTTCGGTGCAATTATGCCCATTCAGTTGAATAAGTACCGGAGGAGATGCCACCAGCCATACGTTGAAGGAGATGTGTACGTTTCCAGACGACGCTCGTTCAGCCATATCCCCGGGTTGAGGTCTACGACTCACGCTTTGCGACAAATAATTGGTATACCCAAAATTTCGCGACCCAAACTTGGCATTTCCAGATTTAAACGACCACCAAAATTCATCAGAACTTTCGAGAAGACAATCTAGAAGACGACCCCCAATTAAGAGATTTTTCTGAATGAAACCTGCACAAGTACCGCACGACCATCCTATGCGCTCGATAGTTGATTTTTTTTAAAAAAAAGTTCCTTGCTCAGGAAAATCATCAAAACCCAAAAGCAAATAAATCCAATCACGATCAGAAAATTTACTGAAACATTTTTACTTGCAAATGTTTTTGCTAACTAATAATGTTTTGTCATCATTACGAGGCCATACTGTGTATTTTGTGAATTGTAAGCGGATTCCGCAACAAAGACGCTCCTTTTGTTCTTCTTTTGTTTATTCGTTTTCTTTGATTGTTCCGACAAAGTTTTACCATGTTTAAAGATTTTTTTCTGAAATGCAGGAATATACAGACACAAAATTGTGTGTTCATCCAGTTCAAGTGTTGGCCTCGTAACGATGAAATATAAAGTCTTATATTAGGCGGAGATATGAATTTGGTTTATTAAACGTTCTAAATAAGAAATCGATCCTTGCGTACATGTGCATTCATATAAAAACCCAACCAAAATATCGATGCTAGTAAAGATAGTAGAAGTTTATCATTTTTTTTGGGATATATGCTGGAGGGGGTTTTAATTTCCTGGGTTTGGAATGGGAGGTAACCCGTTTTTAAGCGAAAAATAATTGGATACTTATTACAACAATGACACATACACGACACCTTGAACCCTAAAAGGATCGCTCCTTTCTCTTTCAGTGCTCATTCAGAAATTCCATATTTGGTCGACCACTTTCTAATAGCGCTGTGAGAGTGCATTTTAACAACTTTTGAAAAACAAGTTTTATGCGCCGAAACATTAATTGTGTCATAGAAAATGTTTGAAAATAGGGCCTTAATAGTTTTTGAAAAAAGTTTGGACAATTAAGTTGGCCTTAAAGATAAACTAAAACAGTTTTTGAGAAGTCTACTGAAATCCTCACGATAATCAAAGATCCTTCCCGCAGTGGAGTTTCAGGGGAAATGATGGATCATAATGGATTATATCGGCAAAAAATTTTACCCATATATCCAACTTTCAAGAACCATCCAATCATGAAAACGGAATTTTAGGGGAATATATTCGATTATCTTCATTTTTTAAAATACAATATATTCGACTATTTTGACAAAATAATCAGTTTTTTTTAGGCCACAAAAATCCATGAAAATCGATTTTTTTCTACAAAAATTCTTTACAAAAAGAAATCTGGAAAAGTTGGATGAGAAATCTGCACAATTACATCAAAATGACTTCAAATTATTAGAAAAATTAAACGTTTCGCAAATTTAGAGCCCGAACAATTATGTTCATCCCTAAAAACTCAAAAAAATTTTGTCCGCCTTTCTACCCCACCCTCTCCCGCACTCGAAGTTTATCACCGCCCCAACCCTAATTTATCCCTCCACATTTTACACCCCGATGCTCTAAACAGTAGGGGTTGTTAGAAGTGGTGATGGAGCGTACGTAACTTTAACCCCTGAAACGCTCATTTATGTATGTCCCAGGTCTTGCCCCACGATATCCCCCTTCAACCAATAAATATCCCCCCCCCCATTCAAGTGAGGCGAGAAGGGTAGTGGGCGGATAAGGGGCAGTAGGCGCGGGGTAGTGGGTGAGGTATCGTTTTTTACCAGGGCGATGGTAGTAAAAGTAAGAGTTGAATGAAACTTAAAAATGCCAAACTGAAAAATCAGATAAATTTAAATGTAAAAAAACCTTATGAGAAAAATTTAGTTTTATTAAACGTATTCTGTAGCAACTGCGCTAAACTGGAAGTGAGATAAATTACAGAATTTGCAAAATTTACCCACAACCTCTCAAAAAATCCATTATGATCGATTATAATTCATATAAAGAATTATATTGATATAAAAACATTGTCTATAATACATTTTATTTGATTATAATCGATTATAATTACTTATAATGAATTTTATTGACTTAAAAAATTATTAGGATTCTAATCCATTTGGTAATTTTATATATATTGACTATAAAATGACTATATAGTCGATTGTTATTCATGGAACTCCAGTGCGGGTTACCTGAATCCCAATAGCAACTACAGCCATTAATAAAAAATATATCTGGTGAAAATATCCGCAAATTTTTTCAAATGTTGACTGAAAACTGACACTTTAAAACTAGGAGCAGGCTAAATTAATCGATCATGCTCACCCCAGTTTAGTTCAAAACGCATTACTGCTCCTATGAAGAAGGTATTGATTGCTACCATGTCCACGTAATTCCACCCAGAGCGGAAAAAGACTTTCAAGTTCTTCTTGACGCTTGCATCCAGAGTATCAGTATCGAATAATTGGCGCACTTCCTCCATGGCAGCAGTCACTACATATACCATTGCATAGTACTCTCCCACTCGGGGCTCCGGCTCAAGTCCTGAGAAAAATTAGCAGTTAAACTTCGATTTTTCTAGGATCGACAATTTTGCTTAAAAAGTTCCTTGAAAAGGGTTGAATGAGCCCAGTTTTAAGTACGATTGGTCCCCTAGTTATACCGGAAAAATCATACCAATTGTTTATCCAAAAATTTGTAAGTTTGGGCTCTTTCATACCCATTGTACGAAAACATTTTCCTCGAAGAACTCGCCCCCATTGACTGAACAGGACTGTGCTCTCTTTCCTCTACAAACCTATAGGATTACTGTTTGTTTTAATTTGCTTCAGCTAAAAACAAAGAGACTTACTTTCTTACACAAAGAGAAAATTGAACAAATCTTAATAAGCGCGAATTTTTTTTCAAGAATTGAGCAAAAATAGGATTAGAAAATGAGTTTCCATGTCTAGAGAGAAATACGCCTTGATAGAATAGAAAAAATAGACCGATTGCAACTAGGGCACACACGGTACGCGTTTTCAGTTAGTGGTTTTTGCCTGGTGGTACATATACCGGGCAACTTTTCTTACTAAATAAGAGAATCACCTTTGCCGTAGTTTCATATAATTATTTAAAAAAAAACATGAACTAAAATGAATAGATTTCCATGGATAATAATCGATTAAATTGAATTTTCGTGATCTGTCTCAATAATTTTTGATAACAATCGATTATAATCGACTAAAAATGGATTATAAAAAAATTGGTTTTCTAATCAATAAAACCCGAATGAAGTTACCAAATAATTGATAATAATCCATTAAAATGGATTATTATCCTTATCCTTCTTAGGTCAATATAATCCAATATAATCGATTATAATCCATTGAAAAGGGATTATAATCGTAATACTTTTAATGCCAAAATAATCCTTTATAATCGATTATAATCAATTATAATGGCTTTTTTCGAGAAGTTGTTTGTGAAAGTTGCAACTTTTATCAAATTTATCCCATTTCCTGTTTAGTGCAGTTGCTACGTAAAACGTTTCAGAAAATGTTACATTTCACGTTAAAATTTATGTTACATTTCACGTTAAAATTACCCCCCCCCCCTCCCATTTACCTTAACTACCCCCTCAGTTTGCTTTACCCCCCTCCCTACCAGTTGGTCCACGTACCCCCCCCTCCCCTATTTATTGGTAGATTTTGGGGGAGTGGGTTTATGATTGACACCCCCCTCTCTTTAATTAGGGGAGTAAAAGATAACTTGATATGGTGACATTAGACATGGTGTTTAGTAGAAGACATGGCTTTTTTTGCAAATTTCCTGCAAAACTTGCAAAAATTCTGCAAAAATAATCGAATTTAATTCAAAAAGTTTAATGTATTCTAATCGATTATAATGGATTATATTGGATTTTTATTGCAAAACTAATCGATTATAGTGGAATATTTTGGCAAAAATAATCAATTTCAGTGCCAAAAATAATGGAGTTTAATGGATTATAATGGATTATAGGGGAATTGTATTTTTAGGAAAAAAACCGATTTTCATAACCCGATAATAGATGACGTGGTCTAAATTTGCCACAATAATGGATTATAATATGTCAACATTTTAGACAACATTTTTCCATTATAATCGATTATTATCCATGGAACTCCGGTGCGGGCTATTTTTGAAAATAAAGAAAACTGTGACTACGCAATTTCAAGTCTATCCCATGGATTAATATGCAAATGTTCTAAACCCTCCTCGAATCACAATTGAGAATGGCACGCAACCATAGCGCAACAGCGTTTTTCCGTCAAATTTACTGTATCTAAATCACGAATTTTGAATAATTCCATGCAAGACTCAATCTTTCATACTTAGAAGACTGCCTTTATATCAGGTTAAAAACTGAAGGTTCCGACATCACTTTGAGGCCTATTACAAAGTTTTTTGATTGAATAACGGACGAAATAATCGCAAAAACGAACAAAGTGAAAAAAAATTTGTGCTTCGAGAAAAATTTTATTTCAGCCATATTTCAACTCAGATTTTGACAGAATTTGTTTATACCATCTGAAAAAATTGTTATCTTGCGCTCATTTTTTTTGAATTTTACTTGCGATTAATAAAAGTGAAGTTTCGTGGGTTTGAAAATAAATAAAAATTTGGTCCTTCCGGAATAGTTAAATTGCGGTATATACAGTTCTTATAACACAAGTAAGCGCTGAAATAATGCGTGTCTAAAGTGAATTGAGGCCAGCAATTTCGCCCTATTAAAACAATAGAAGCACTAAATAAACTCATTGTAGCTTACAAAGCATGTGTACCCCACACGCTATGTAAATTGCAAAGGGCTTGTTAAGCGTTTTCTTTTGTTTTAACAGGACTGAAATGTATCTGTTTCTTTTCCTAATTTGTCCAATCTTAAAATTAAAGCTAAAAAATATAATGTTTCTGATTGTATAAAATAAATCTGCCGGAAACGTTTAGTTCCGCACTATTAGTTTGTCAATAACTAATTACCTAAATTTTTCAGAGACAATTGAAACATTTAGCGCTTGTGTCTTAATACGAATAGTCTTGTTGATATTAGGGCGATCGATAAAAAAAAATTTACGAAACAAAACACAGAAAAATAATTTAGAAACAACGGTTCTATAAGTTAAAATTCAACAAAGTACCAACTGAGTGAAGTGTATAAATTTTTTTGCAAGGGCCAAGTTTAGAATGTTCTTAAAATTTCTCACCATGCAGCACCACCCAGCTGAAGATGATGAGAAACATCATAAAAGACAGTGTATTCAGGCAGAATACAATCATAGGGGCTGTGTAGAAATTCGAGAACCGCCCAGGCTGCTTTCGGAGAAAAGGTTTCGCGTCTAATTTGATGGCTGTAATTTGGGATTTCGAATCTTTAGTTGATTCTTGGGCGCCAGTTTGGGAACCGACATCTCTTTTAAATGTTTCCTCAATGGTCTCTGAATCATTTCTAAAATGAATCACGAACGGGATCATTATGAATGGCAGGAAAATGGCCAGGGCAATTTGGATTCGCGAATTCGAGTAAGTTATTTTTCCACGCCAACTTTCTTTTGAAATTGACTGACAAGCTGCTTGAGATATGAAGGATTTCGATTGCGCACCTATGGCCAGGTCCACACAGCTGATTTTGCCCCAGCAAGCATGTTTCTTTTTCAGTATATCTTTGCATTTTTCTTTATCGTATTGAAAACAGTGATTCACGATACCAATCGCGCGCTCGTTGTAACTTTTTCGAATAATTTCTACTTTAGATGAGAAAGTTAAATCCATTCTTTTCTCAAGAGATATTAAAGTGTTTTCCAGTATCCAAGCAGCAAAGAGAGCAGCAGATACCTTGCACTGAAGGTTTTCCCAGAAATACAAACTGGACTCAAGTCTGTTGAATAGAATTGAGTGCACGAACATTTCACGAATGGGGTTTTCAAGCCTCGCTTTTCGTCGTTGAACCATATCTTTTTTGGAATCACTCTCATTTTTAAATCTCGGTTTATATTTGAGGTGAACGTCTTTCTCCAAAATGCCTTCCACGTGATGTAGATGAATTGTGCGGCTAATTTCATCATCGCGTAATTCGATTTGAAAATCGCTTTGGTTCGACTCTGAGTAAATTTTGTTTAGTTCTCCGTATGTCAGCAATTTATGAAGTTGGAAACTGTCTCCGGGACGGCTTTCTTCCTCTGAGTCCAGGTCGAGAAGTGTCTTGATAAATTCAAACTTATTATCTTTCACCGCCTTTTTGAAATACTTGAAAATGAATTGGGAGTCCTGAATGTTAGATCTAAAACAAAACAAGACAGCTCGTATGAGGGCAAACACCTGAATGTGCCGACTGCGCTTCTAGATTTAGGGAGCAGTGTGTCCGTAAAAAATACTGACATTTTTTTCAAAACCATAATGAAGGATGTTTGAAACTTTGAAAGTTTTCTGAAAAACATCCCCATTGGCAATATTTGAACCCCATTTTTGTGAAAAAAGATTGTCGATGATAAACATTTTTTTTTGAAAATGATTTCAAGACAACAATATCTTTCAAATAACCTTGAAGGTTTGTCAAAAAAGCTTGATAAAAAGTCGAAAATCGTCTGGAGAAAAAACTAACCCGATCATAAATAGGCAATTACTTTTTTCTTGCCGACTCTTAAAACTAAATACGAAAACCGGAAAACTGTATTTGAGAAGAACAATGAAGAAATTATAGTCATCGCATTGAATTTTGCTATGTTGGGAAGGCTTGTAAAGTTAACCTGAGTGGTTATTACTACGTCAAGTGAAACAACGAACTTCATATATTAAAGGGATGACATGTTTTAGCACAAGGCATTTTGCAATCGAATTTCCGCAAAAGAATAACTTGAACTATTTCAAAGTTTCATAGCCTGACTAGCTTGCTTAAAAAATAAACGTAAGCTTTTCGCAAAACGAATTAAGACGGCTTAAGCTGTTCAAACGACCTAAGCTGTTGCTGTCGTTCGAATAGCCTGATTAGAAAAAAATCTGAACTTTTCGTGAAACGATTTCGAAATAACTTCACAATTTTCAAGATATAATATCTTGCAGAGCTTGCTTAGAAAACTTAAAATTCGCTAATTGGTTCGGTTTGTAAAACATCTCAATTATTTGAAGTTTCATGGCTTGAACAGCTTGCTTTGAAACATTTTTTTTCCGGAACCGATTCGGTCTGAAAAACAACTTCGTTTATTTTATATTTCTTACCTTGAAGGCTTGCTTCAGTTTTTTTTTTAATTTTGGGAACTGATTTGGTCTATAAAATGTTCTAAATATTTGAAAAATTTTTAGCCTGACTAGCTTAGATATTTCGCTGGCTGTTTCTGTCTACTATATAATTTGATTATTTAAATTTTCAAGAACTTGCTCGGAAAAATTTGAAATTTAGCCACCGATTCGGTCAAAAAGTCAAAATTTTTGGTTTGAATACTTGCTTACGAAGGTTTGATTTATCGCGAACCGATTTGGTAGAAAAATTCATAGTTTGTATTGCTTGCTTAGAAAAATGTTCAACCTTCAGCCAAATCATTCGCATTAGAAAGCAATGTGAAATTTTCCACACTAACGTAGTTTCAATAGCTTGCTTACCAAAATTCAAACTTTTTGCAAACCCATTCAGTCTAAAGAGTTTTGACATCAATCATAGCTGGATTTACTTGCTGAGATAGAATAAATCAATATTTCGCGATGCGACTCGGTTTGTGAAATAACTTGACGTTTTAAAGCTTGAATTGTGACCCTAGAACAAGTCTTTTTCTGCTAACCAATTCGATCTATGAAATTACTTGAAATATTCAAATTTCACCAGCTCCATTAGAGGAGAAGCTTGATATGTCCTGAATTGATTTGCTCTATAAAGTAGTTTGAAATAATTCGAAGCTTCATCAACTGAATGACATGAATATCAACAGTTTGCTATCTGATAACTGCTTGATGAAAAATTTTAATTTCAAATAGCTTGCTTAGCAATCTTTGTTTTCTGCAAACGCTTTCCACAATTTTTTTTTTGAAAACGTCAAATCTTCAGAAAAACATGATCTTATCGCGAACCATTTTGGTCTCTAATTACCTTGAAATATTTGAGTTGTCATCGTTTCAATGGCTTCAATAAAAAACTTAAACTTTCCTTATGCGATGGGCTTCATATAGTTCCTTAAAAGTTTTTAAACTTCTTCACTAATGCTTGCTTAGATAAAATTAAATTTTTGACATCCGATTAGTTCTATTAAATAACTTGAAATTTTTCAAATTATGTTAGCTTGAAGGATTTCAATCGAAAATTTTTAATTTTTTTCAAAACGATTCACTTCATGAAAATCCTTGAATTATTCAAATTTAACCAGTTCCATTAGAAGAGAAGCTTGAACTGTCCTGAATTGATTTATTCAATGACACAGTTAGAATTATTTCGAAGCTTCACCAATTGAATGGCATGAATATCAATGAAAAAATTAAACTCAAAAAGCTTAGAAATCTTTGTTTTTTTGCGAACCACTTTCAAAAAATAGATATTAAAAATGTCATATCTTGGTTAACTTTTTTAAAGAAAAACTTGATCTTGTCGCGAACCAATTTGGTCTCTAAATTCTCTCGGAAAACTTGAACTTTCATCGCTCCAATGGCTTCAATAAACAAACATAAGCTTCCATCATGCGATGGGCTTCACATAGTTCCTTCAAAAGTTTCAAACTTCCTGCCTAATGATTGCTTAGATGAGTTGACCTTCTTGTCAACCTATTAGTTCTCGGAAAAAAACCTTTAATTTTTCAAATTATCTTGAAGGATTTCAATTGAAAAGCTTTAATTTTTTGCAAATTGATTTGCTTCATGAAAATGCTTGATATATTTGAATTTTCAATGCTGGAACATCTTACTCAGAAAAACTTAGTTTTTACGGCATCCGATTTTCTTCACGAAAAGTATTTTTAAGATTTTTGGCTGCCTTATTTGAACTTTTGGAATCAAAATTATCTTGGTTGAATAGCTCCAGCAGAAAAGTTTGAACGTTTTCTTACCAATTCCTTTCCCAAAAAGTTTCAAGTATTTCAAAGTTTTAAAGCCAGTGCAGCTTGCTCAGGAAAAAATAACTTGAAAAAGTCATATCTTGATTTGCATGCTGAAAGAATTTGTTCGCTGACTGATTGAGTCTTAGAAAATTTAAAAATGCTTTATAACTTGAATGGCTTACTTATAGAAACTTTAAATTTTCGCCAAATGATTTTCTTTGTGAAAAATCTGAAGTTTTTCAAGTTTACTTGCTTTAGTAGTGCACAAAACTGAATCTTTTTGCCATCCAAAGTGCTTCATAAATTAACTTGAAAAAGGTTTGGAACAGCTTCTGTAGGAAAACTTCAACTTTTCCCGGACCGTTCCTTTTTTTTTTAATTAAAAATTTTCAAACTGAACAAGTCACTAACGTTTTTGATTGATTGTGATCACCTGAAAAGATTTTTTTAAACGCAAAATTTGCGTCAAAGGTATATGATAAGATTAAACTAACATCCTGACAGCGTATTATTGATATAATTGATTCAGGGCTGATTTTAACTGAAATTCAGACTTTTAAGAGCAAATTTACTGTCAATCTCACTCCTCCGAATTTACCAATTGACGAGTCTCATTTTAAGATAAAAAAAACGCAATAAAGCAAAGAATGCTCGAAAAACGAGATAGGCGAAGTACTTTAGCTTTGTTTTGTCAATCAAATTTGCTTATAAAAAACTTTCAGCGCACAGTTTTATAATTTAATCTCTTGATCAAATATTTAGTTCTACTAGTTTTGATAAAAAGATCCAAATGATTCAATGTTTGCTTTTTTGGATTTATTAAACCTAAAGTATACTTCTTAAATTAGAATTAATTTTTGCGCACCTTTCAAATACCTTTTGATATTACCGAGCGTTACGTGTTGTTCAAAAAAAGATTGTAATTCTGCGTGAGCTTAGGAAAAATCAGAAGCCATACCGCCGGTTATGGGGTCACCGTGAATAAATTTTACTGTTATGAAAACGTTTTAGAAAAAGTGTGCTTCGAAGCAATTTTTTTCTATTATTTGTCAACTCGCAAAATGCTGGTGCATCAACATTTTTCTCAAATTGACTGCATAAAAATCAATTGAAAGCCAATTGTTTTACCTATTTGTTTTGAAACATAGAACATTGTCAACACAAAAAATATACATCTAACATAACTGCTTCAAGCTTCTTTTTTAATGCAAAAACTTTTTACTATCAATTTGTCGGAACTTTGTTTGAGAAAAAGAAAAAGCCAACTTGCCTGTCCTGTCGGATAATTTTACCAAAGGTTGAAGCTCTATCCCATGAAAGAGACAAATCGAGTGCTTGTTCCAACAGATCAGCTGGATTTTTTTCTTGCAGATAAAGAAGCTCCAAAATATTTTTGTCCAACTCCACGCTGTCAATCTGACAAACTCGCATGTAATTGTCCAGCTTTTTTTCATTTTTCTTCAGATTTATCTTCAGACGTTCTAAAGCTTTTGCAAATTGCCAATAGGTTTCGGTAATTTCTTTGATTTCTTCCGTTTTCCTCTCCTCTTCCTTTTTTTTCTCCTTCTCTGTCATCTTTTTCTTCTCGTTCTCGTGCACTTTCGTCTCTAGGAAATCGCTGAGCATTTGTTTCATTTTTTCTGGCTGGAGATTTGGATCACGATCATACAATGTTTTAAATTTTTCAAGGAAGTCGGCCGCACGTCCAGTACCACTGATGATAATACAGGGGATTTCGGCATCAAGGCTACTAGCAAACGCTTTGATTGCCCTGGTTCCACCCTCGATGAGCACACACACCATTGGTGCTTTTTTCACTTCCTTTGACTTTTTTGCTTTTCCAGCTAGTTTCTCGGCCACCTCACTCATTAAATTGGCACGGACATCAAACTCTGTGTTACTATCTTCAACTATAATGAAATAGTCGTGGTTCAAATCAAGACTGTGTGTCTGATTCTTAGGTTTTTTGTACGTGAAAGTGTCTTCATCAGGAGACTTGTCATCACCAAAGGCCATATTTAAAGAAACAACTCCAACTGAGACCACGCCCCTAAACGGCAACAATTTCAACTTTTTTGGACAGAAGCGTGTATCATTTTTTCTCATATTTTTTTCTCTTATACAAACTAGTGAAGTGGAACCAGATCCAAACTAGATTTTAATATTGGTTATTATTTAGATATTTTATACCTATAAAATATTGAAATCTAACCAATCATACTCCAACAAACTAACAACCCACTTATTTGTGAAAAATGAAGTTACTTGTAATTTTAGCACCAGAGAGATTTGACTTTAACTTAGAACTTAGTTGCTTTCACTAAGAGACCAACTCGTAACAAAACCAGTATACTCTAGATCTATTGAGACTAGGAGATATAAGAGTAAGATTAAGATCGGTATTAGACTAAGAAGTTGCACGAATCTATCCGGCCGAAAATAAGATGCGCGTGACGAGCAGACGGTGTACCCTATCTGAAATTACTCTATGAGTTAAACCTCAAACCTAACTCATCTGGTGCGATCAAAAGTCTCAAACAAGACCTTAAAAAACAACTTAGATTAGAGCTAACAAAACATTAGATTAGAATTAGACAAAAAAACATTTCCAAAAAATGTTACACGACAACATATTAATTGAAATGTCTCTACAACTCAATAAATCAGAGCCATCACTCCGAACAATACGAGAACTACCTGGTATTGGAAAGAGACCTCGGACCAGAGACGATATACGACTACACAGAAACCTACCAATAAGTTTCATGGTCGTACGGCGAAAGCCAACACAAACTTTTATATTTAGAACTTTATTAGCTTTAAATTTAGATTTCCATTTACTGACATAGTATCTCCAAACAAAAGTCTTCAACGATCTTTAAAGGCGCTAAACCTAATAATTACACAGAAGCGACTGATAAAAATATCCCCACTAGTTCTCTCCAACGAATCTGCAGTATAATTAAAAGCATCTTGGAAAAAAATTTATTGAATATATAAAGTAGTTAGTATAAAAAAAAATGTTAGCATATATATAAATCATCTTTTCATCCCAGCCAATCATAAATCTACTAACATTCACCAAAAAATGACACTAAAAATTTTTATCAAATATACCTTAAATCATATTACCAAGGCCTATCCTTGTTTTCTTTTAAATTAAACTCATTTAAAGTGACAGATCATCAAAGTTTCCCTTGGATCTTAACTTCAATTTCACCTAAATTAAATTAAATTTCAATTAATTTTATACCGTGATCATCAAGGTTTATCCTTGGATCGAAAAAAAAACAATTTTGTTCTCCCCTACAAATTATGAAGTGTCTAACGATCTCAAACATCAATTCACTGCCCAACCCTTCCACAAGGAATTACAGATTAACGGTCATAAAACACAAAAATGAATCAAAGTGAAGAAAACCAAGAAGAAAATTCCATTCTTCCATTTTCCATCTTCCACTAGCTGAACATAGAGAACAAACACAATTTTATCAAAATCTAATTGCAAATTTCTTTGAAAGAGGAGATAGTCTATATACAAGAGAAATCCCAGACGTAAAAATCAAAAGACAACTCATTGATCACTATCTATAATAATATGTAATATCACACAACAATACGGAAATTTTACCATAAAAATTAGTTCACCAAATATATTTCATGGTAGATATCTACTTCAAACAGACGACATGGATATAAAAAATTCAAAAGTATTCACAGAATATATAAAAAATAAACAACATCAAAATTCACAAAGAGCAAACTCAATATTCATTAACGATGTATTTTCAATTATTTATAGTTATCTATCTGTATTAGAACTAACAGAATCTCAAGGAAAGTCACCAGTTTAAACGTCTAGACATACAATTGTAAGACAAGAAATTGCAATATTCTCAGTTTTTTTAAGCACAATCCGTGAAAACTTAACCATTAACAAAATTTCACAACATGTTCAACACGATTTACAAAAAATCTTAGAATTGTTTATATTTGATTATTTTACACATAATATTGCTTTTTTTTAATTGCAAGAAAAATTTTTAGATCTAAAAATAACACTGATGAAACTGTCTTAGCAGAACAATCAGATTGTGCTTGGGACCCTCAATGGTCTCATGTGTGATTTGTGAACAAACCAATAGATGTATCAAGTCAAGCAATTAGCACAGTTTCTATTCACAAAGAGTATGTTAAAATATACACACTCACAGTTGACGCAACACTATTAAACTATAACTCATTTCTACCCAAAAGAATTTAAAAAAAAGTTTAAGCTCAACCCTCATACAACAAGACAACCTAAAGGGAACTAGATCGTACACAACAAGATAATCAATCTCCATCACATTTCGTAAAGTAAGAAATAGCTGAAACAATAACAACAGCAGCACAACAAAGTATTTCACCTATAAGTCCAAATCTTACAACTCCAATACCAAAATCCCCAACATTACCACAGGTAACATTACAATCCACTGTTAAACCCCTCCGTTGTTCCAAAATACACACAAATGGATTATCAAACATTTAGACCACTGATGAAACCAACACAAAAACAAAGTACATTCCATAAAAATATTTTTGCAGAACATAATTATAACTATGTAAATAGACCACAAAAATTTAAATCATCTCGTACAAACACTCAAAACCATTTATTCTCACAAAGTCAATATTTACAACAACCATCATCAAATTCAGTAAATTTTAATGACTAGCCACAAATTTCACAAGTTCAAAGTAAAAATTACCCATTTTTTCCACAAAACAGAAATAAAATACAACAAAATAAATCTAGACATCAAACACTTTATTATACATCTAATTTTTTTCGGTCAGACAATGAAGAATATTATAATTCAAATCATCAACAATTTTATCAAAACCAAAGACCTCGTTCTTACCACATAGATCAACCAGATATCTTTGGACCATATACACGAGAAGAACATATACGACAATCTAGACCATTTCTAACATCTCAGCATACTAATTTTTAATCACGAAACCCAGTTAGTACACAATCTTATGAACCAACGTAAATGCAAAATGAAATCCCGCTACAATATTAATTACAACAACATGAACTAACAAAATGTCAACTTACGAATTTTTCACAAAAACCAAATACCGCAGAATCAATTCAAATGACTATGAATCCATACATAATGGGTAGATCATCAATATCATCAAATAAACCGCTAATTGTATACACAGGCACAGACCCTGAATAATCTGTAGAAGATTCTTCAAATACAGTCAAAAAAAATTTGATTTTAAATATAGGACCTGAGCCAGTAATCACGCCACTCCATCAAAACTGGATACATATACGCACAGCTTTAATCCAGACCACTCTTGATGGCACAGCCCAAAAATGATTTTCAGTTTTACCTATACATATAAAATTGGATTGGAAAAGATTCACACAAGAAATTTCAAAAATGTTTCACTCTGAAAGAAACAACCAACATCAAAGAGTTTTATTCGTAGACTACCAAATGAACCGTTTAAACAACTAGCAATAAGAATTGAAACACTAGTCCCAAAAGCATATTCACTCAACAATCATAATTATAAACATACAAAAATGACAGAAATCTTAATGATGACTCTAACATCTCAATTAAATGAAAATGGCAATCAAAAAGAGAGCATCAAAACAGCAATCAATTCGAGAACCAGATTTAGACTTTAGGAAACTAGTTGATATTTTAGAACAAGCAGAAATCACTATGAAACTAGAATAAACAGTAATCTCAAACTACAATTTGTAAATAAAATTCAAACTACAACTACACAAATATATAATATACAAGACTGAGATACAGATTTATCCGAAAAAATCACTGAAATTTTTAAATCTGTACGAGAAAAATCCAAATTATAAAGGTAAATCATCGTTCAAAAAATGGTGTAATTATAGCCGAAAATACGGCCATAGCATTGCTGAAAGCAGACAAAAACAGCAAGACAACCAGAAAAAAACCACAAAAGTACAGAGAACCGAATTTACCTCATAAAAATATTCACACTAATAAAAATTCTGGAAAATCACTTCCAAACGATTCAAACTATTCAAGAAATCGATCACCCTATAACTCCAACTACAGAGGAAGATCACCAAATCAAAGAAATTGCCGAAATTTTTCACGAAATAGATATAGTTGATCAAATAGTCGAAACAATCAGTACCGAAATAACTATTTACGATCAAACTCAAACCGACCAGAACATTCGTTTGAAACCAGTTTCATTCACACTCTAGGAATGGACACTGTTCCAATGATAGATCAAGATATTCCTCGTACAATAGAAATAGGAATTTTTCCAACAATAGGAATAGAAGCTACTCAAAAAATCGAAATCATCGATATCAGAATAATAAATCACGAGATTATTCAAACAATAGATCAAATTACCAAAGATCTAACTACAATAACTACCAAAAAAAGATCACGCGATATCTCACAAAATATAAATTCGATATAAAAATAGACAAAGAAACTACTCTCAATCACCACATAGAAAAAAACATACGTTATCCAGATTCTCAAAACAAACATAGAAGCAAGACGCCAAAACATCAAAGACAAATAAATCAAGTGCAAACAAGTGAAGAAGTCATTCCAGGCCCCCCTGATATTGAAAACACAGAAAGTACCGAATTGCAATTAAATGACATCAATTGCGTATATGACATAAATGACAAATTAGTATACAAGACCTAGAAATGATAACAAATCAATAGAACAAATAGTAGATGAAGTGACGATGTTATCCGAATCTGTAGAAAAACCTATACCATGTTCTAGTATAAATCATATCTACCAAAATGTATAAAGAAAACCCCCAAGAGAAAAAATTTGGACATTTCCATTCCCCTAGAAAGTCCGGAACAAAATCAAATATCAACATTATTCCTCCTTAGAATGGAATCAAAATTTTACATCCAAAACTAATACCTATGAAAACAGCCAGCAGACTAGCAACAGCACAAGGCTCAACCTTAA